TTTGCCTTGCTCCAGAACAAGATGACATGTTCAGTTCAGCCAAATAAACATTTATTGAGCACCTGATGCATATCAGTAATGTGGGCCGTGAGGAAGCCGAAATAAATAGCATGCATCCCTTCCCTCAGGCTGTCACAACCACAAAACATGTGAATATGATGAAGTGGAGCAAGGTGTCTTACACAGGGAGACGCCAGGCAGAAAGGTCCCCAGAAGGGCACGAGTGTGGCTCTGGATTCCCCTGCGAAGAAGAATAACATTGAAAGTGACAAGAAAGTGAAAGGCGGGAAGGTCTCTTAATGGAGATCTTTCCCTGACTTCCTGTTTCCTTGAGAATAAAATTCAAACCTCAGACATAAATTGAGAAAGTCTGGCATGGTCTTTACTGTACAGTGTCCACAAGCAACGTGTGTGGCTACCAAGTCCTTGAACTGCAGCTGGTACACTTGAGGAATTGAACTGTTTTATTCCATACAACTGCAACTGATTTAAGCAGCCACCACAGAGACAACCCTATCATCATCACAGAAAGTACAGTGAGCCTATCTCGTGCCTGCCACTCATCTGTGAGTTTGAGAATGTGGCAGGCTCATGACCTTCTTACTCACAGCTCCATTTGCTCAGATCCCCTTGTCTCACCCTTGAGACAGGCAGCTGCCACTCAAGGTCCATTCTTCACCTGTCCACTCTGCCCACACTGGCTAGCATTGCCCCTCTCTGTATTCCCCATCAGCCTCTCATCAGTCTCCTCCACAATTTTATGGCCATTTGTTATCATTTTGTAGCTCACGAACACATTTCCCCTTTGCCTACCCCTTTAGATTGTAAGCCCACAAAGGCAAGGGTCAGTCTTCATCATGGTACCCTAGGCACCAGCACAGTGACTATCTCAATACATAGGCTGGTGAGACTGACAAGCGTGTTTTTCACAGAGGGATGGGCATCCCTTCAATGGCACAGAGAAGGTGTCAACACGGAGTGACTTATTAAAGAGTAATAGGAAAATAGAATGATAAGGGGGACACAGAGAGGCTGTTCAGAGATTGGGAAGTGGCAGCGTGGGTTCACCTGGGCAGGTTCTAGGAGGCCTGAGTTAGGCAACTGTTGAGGACTCTACTCTGATCTTAGCTGGAAAAGGCTTGGCAACAGACAGCAGGACCCAGGACCCAGTAGGAATTTCAGGTGCCTGAGACAGAGGGTAGCTGCAGAGACAGGCTCAGAAGGTGGGCCACTGTGAGAAGCATATTATCCAGAAAAGGTTACTTCTTCCAGCTCCCTGGGGGATGTGCATCGGTTTGGGGAACAAGCAACAGGTTGGAATACACATAGGGAATGGAAATCTGAGCAAGAGGAAGCTGCAGCCCCATTACTCTTAGAGGTGGCACGAGCTCCAGCAGCCTCGCAGCCTTCGAGCACCCATCTTCAACATGTTCCAGCTCCTGCCCTTCCATCTCTAGAAGGTGAACCCCGTAAGACGAGACTTGATCTCCTTGATCACTGCGTTCTCAGTGCCTAGGGCCTGTCACATAGTGAGTGCTCAGTGAATACTTACCAAATACATTAACCCATCTTCCATACGGTGCAGCCATAGGATGTTTTATTCTCATGTAGGATTGATGTTGAAAGTTAAATCCGGGCCACACTTAATGCTGAAGGCTGCAACAAGAGAATTAGAAACTCACCCTTATTCATTCATTCCAGTGCCTTGGAGGAGGAAAATTTACTCGTCTTGTTTCAGCATCAAGTCATAATTAACTTCTTTCAGGAAATTTTCCACGCACCACACCCTCATCTTCCAAACTCAAGTCACCCATGTGCATTAGGATTTTTTCACTGCCTAAATATAAGTGCTGGCTGTCACCTGATGGGATGCGAGTTCAGAGCTCTGCCCATGTGATGGTGCCTCCTTGACATTTATTCTTTACTTTAGTAATCAACTTTTAGGTTGGTTTCTGAGAAAGGGCCACAAATGAAGTTCGACTCAGGCAGGGGCGGGGGGGGGGGGGGGTAAAAGGGACAGCTTTGACTGGCTCAAAGCCACACATTTGAGTTTCAAACCAGTTCTTCCAGCCAAACACACCTCTCTCATCTCCCCCTAAGCCTGTGCCGTGGTGACTGCCTCTTCCTCTCCCTCTCCCTCTCCTCCAGAAGTGGGACCTGGGCTCAGATCTAGGCTTCACTCCTACTGGGATCTTTCTCAGTGTTTCCTGTTTGCACGCCACACCTCAGAAGCAGCTGAGAGGTGGTGCCCAGCAGTGGCCCAGCTGGCCACTGCTGACCATCAGCACCCTCTGACCACCCGCAAGGGACCTCTTTGTTTTGCTGCTGGCTGGGAGAAGGGAAACACTTTCCAGAGAGGGCACCTGACCAAGATCAGCTCTCTCTACAAACACCATAAATGCCACCAGAATTACAGAGGGGTAGGTTTGGAGGGGATCCTAGGAACATCAAAATTGACCCTTCCTTTTACAGATTCAGTGCCAGAGACTATCAAGGGGACATCGTGAAGGGTGCGAGCTCAGCTGGCCTGACTTCCATTTCATGTGATGCTCATGGATGCTGCTGTAAGATGGGTCCCAGGAAGGGTTTCGCACCTGCTGCTAGTCACAAATAAATCAGGAGGAGGTGGCCTGGCAATGCCACTGGGGGCCCAGGCTACGGGCCCTGGCTTTCTGTGCCTGGCCTTGTTTCTGCTAGTTACCACCTGGGGGACTGCACTAAGTCTCAGTTTCCTCATCTGGAAAAGGAGGGGGACGGTGCTGGCATCCACCTCCCCGGACTCACAGATGTGGTAGGAACAAAGCTCAAGCTCACATCTGATTATCAGGCATGGTGCCCATCAGCAATGTTGGCTGGTTCTAGCAATATAGCAATTTTGATCTCAGTATTTAAAGTAGCAGTACTAACCAGAAACCTGAACTTTATATCTGGACACTGCTTTAAAGAGAATCAGTTTTGGCTTCCATGGAGCAGCTTTTTATAGGAATATGGGCTAGGCCAATCACCTCCTTCAGGGCCCTTCTATATCCCAGAAGGTAGCAAAATTATCATTATTTAAAGACTTAATTAAGCCTTAGTATGGCCGGCAGATTAGTCTTAGATAGGGTAAATGTGTGATACAATGGAGTTGCATTTTTATATGCTGTCATGTATGCTTTATAGTACAGCTGGGCCCTTATATAACCGATGTGCACTGAACTTTACTTCCCACTTTATAGGACTTTTATAAGGGAGGCTGCATAATGTGGTGGAGTGAGCACTGGATCATGAGTTGCCAGGCCTGTTCAAAACAGAGGCTCTGACACATGGTGACAGGGACCCACGGCAGCCACTGCCTCTCCTCCTCTGTGATGTGTGGAGCAGGGCTGGGGGATGTCCAGCCTGGCAGCTTGCATTGGAAGCAGAAATCTGACAATATTGAGCAATGATAAAGTTACAGGCATTCAACTTTTGAGTCTAATTATGCTTTTGGTCACTTCTCTGATGTATTTCTCACCATGTTTTTAGGAACACAGTCCTCAACTATTTTTAGTGGAAACTGTGGTTAGCTTCACAGTTGCTCTGAAGGTGGCTCCCAGGAAAAGCTGGGTTCCCTGTAACACCCATATGCCCAGAAATGAGCGAGTGACCTTCATAGAATTGCTGAGGTGGTCACTTGATTCATTTGTTCATTTATTTGCCATTGAACCCAGAGCCTCATGCATGCTAGGACTGTTATAAAGGAGGCTAGGACTTTTATAAAGAACTCTATTGCTAAGCTACATCCCTATCCCTTTTCAAAACGTTCTTTTGGAAATTGCACAGGCTGAGCTTAACTTTCCATTCTCCTGTCTCAGCCTCCTGAGTAGCTGGGGTAACAAGTGTGCACCACCTCACCAGGCTCGGTCTTCTTGATCCGTTCCCTGTACAGAATTCCCAGCATGCCTAGATTTCTGAGTGTCCCTTCCTGCAATTACAAGGGAAAACTAAAAGTGATGTATGTGAACTGGGGGCAGCAACTACAAATGACAGCAAGAGTAACATCAAGGACAACACTGCACAACTTTGGACACTAAGACACTAAACTGAGCAGATCGCACTGCCCCCCAGCTCAGCAATGGACGCCCGAGTGAGAATCCTGAGTCACCGACAAGTGGGTAAAAACGTCTGGTATCGCTGGCTTCAGAACTTGCAGCAGGGAGTGAGGCTTTTCCGAGAGACTCCTGTCAAAGTACTTTGAAAAATGCTCGCTCTTGTTGCACACGGAAGTCACTGTGTGGGCTCCCTCCGTGCCTAGGGAGGACATCAGCTGAACAAAGTGCCACCATGCAAGTCCTGGGACCTGAGTGTCTGCAGGAGAAGGCAGGCAGCAGCCCTAGGACAGCGGTCCACAGTGTGCAGTTTTAGGGATGAAGCAGCTTCAGTAAGAATCTGGGTAAAATTCAAATTCAGCTTGAGTTATATTAAATTAGCTGGCATTCAAAATACATTTTTATTAAGTGTTTAACATAAGCCAGTCACTTAGGGGCTACGTATGAAGTTTCAGAGAAGATGCACTCACTATTCAGGCGGCACGTGGGGGGGGGGGGTCAGCAGAAGTGACAGATGTGCTACTTTGTGGCTTTGCATTTCAAAGCTGGCCCTTGGAGAGTCCTACGGACTCTTCCTACCCGCGCCCCGCTGGGCAGGAGCTGTGCCTCTGCCATCAGTCCGGGCGCCCCCGCGGCCAGGGCTGGTCTCTGCAGTGACCGCGGTCCCTAGGAAGACGGGCACCTGGCTCTCCTGAGGCTGGACAGAGGTCAAGAAAGTCATTTTTCCTAGAGAGCAGAGTCCTGGGTCCCGAGCAGAGCACGCTTTTCCCGTGAGCCAGCAGGAACAGGGCAGAGGGGCGTCTCCCCCGGCCTCAGGTGTAGGCACAGGAAGGACTGGCAGCAGGAACGCGAGCGTCCCACGCAGGGCCGGCAGCCCTGCCCCCTAGAGCGCTCCCGTGCCGGCTCGCAGCGGCGGTGCCCGCAGCTGGGCGTCAGAGCCCGCGGAGCAGCCCGCCGCCGAGTGGGTGGTGCAGGCAGGGGTGGTATATCCTGTCTGCCGAGGGCGGGCCCGCCAGTGCCTGCAGAGGGAAGAGCCGGGGCGGAGGCGCCGGAGCAGCTGCAGGAGCCCTCGGCCGGTCGCACACTCTATGGCCACAGGCGGCCGCTGAGCGCGAGGAGACCACGCCGCTGCCCGCCGCCGCCCCGCACCGCCCGCGCCTCTCCGCCGCCGCCGGCCGCGCCTCCGCCACCATGAACCACTCGCCGCTCAAGACCGCGCTGGCTTACGAATGCTTCCAGGACCAGGACAACTCCACGCTGGCCTTGCCGTCCGACCAAAAGATGAAGACAGGCACGTCGGGCAGGCAGCGCGTGCAGGAGCAGGTGATGATGACCGTCAAGCGGCAGAAGTCCAAGTCCTCGCAGTCGTCCACACTGAGCCACTCCAACCGAGGTAAGGCTCGGCCGCGGTCCGTGCGCCTGCTTGACGCACTCCTGTCGCGCGGCGGGCGGCAGGGATGGGGCGGCCGGCCAAGCAAGGCCCGGTCAGGTGGAAGCTGCTCTGTCGGGGTGGGTGCGGCAGATCGGAGTCGTGGTCCGCGACAGTGTAGCCGGCTCCACGAACTCAAAGGCGCGCCAGTGGGCAAAGCTGGGTAAATCCGGGGGACCCCGCCGGAGCCTCTCTCTAGCACCGACTGGAGGCGGAGGGTGTCCCTGGGAGGGAGCTGTCGGTGCCCACGGCCCTGGGTGGGAAAACTTTCTCTCCCTGACCCTGCTCCCGGGACCATCCAAACTCCATCTGGCCCTGTCCTGTAGCAGAGGCCCCAGAGCTCAGCAAGGCTTATGTACCACCTCTCCTGTCTGTCCCTCCAGGGCTTTGCAGTCCACTATGCGTTCCTTGGGCAGCTGGAGCCCAGTACTCAGGCTGAGCGAGACCCCAGTCCTGGTGATCTTAGTGTGTGGGGCCAGGCCAGGCTGGATGAGCAAATTGCTGAGACCTCAGTTCTAGGACTCAGTGCTGGATGGGCAGTACCTCAGGGAATCACATCAAGTCCCTGGAATAAGTCCCTGCAACACCATAGCACTTCCATAGCAGGAACTTCATGCGCAGAAGAGGCAAATTTGTTTGAAGTCCATCCCCAGGGTCAGTGTATCTTTGATGGCAGGGAAGGCTGTCTGGATGCCCCATGTCCCCAACAGTTAATGCAGAAACTCTGTTCCAGGTTCCCACAAGTGTCACATGGGAAGAATGGGGACTGAAAGTGGCAAGGTTGGGAATTCCCTTCCTCCAGGGAAAACCCTAGCTGATCCCACCGGGACACTTTTCAAATCCGGGTTATGGATCTGACCATCCTTATCAGTTTCTATAAATGAAAGAGTCTTTACTAGGGTAAAGCTAGGAAAAGAGGGTAGGATCTCTGAAATTGGAAGGTCTGCTACTTGGCAGGAACATTTGGAGGATTTTTAAAGCAAATTCTTTATAAGAGGAGTTCCAGTAAGAAATAGTTAACAAACCTTCAGTGTGTTGCTTATAGTTTTATTTAACTAAATTTGGTGCAATGCTAATAAAAATTGCACACTGCAAATCAGTACAGGTCATCTAGGACTTGTTTAATAAACTGGGCCCTAGGGAATGTGAGAGGCAAAAGGATTGAAGAGGAAGACAAAGGAGATAGATCTCTGGCCATTCCCCCAAGATGGGCATAAACCCCAGCTCACGCTCTACCTCTGGCTTCTCCTCCCCGCCCTTCCTAAATGGCCCCGTATAGAGAAAATGGCAGGCAGAGAGAGGGCTTCCTCACCTGCCACACCTGCGGGCCTTCACGGCCTCACTGCCCTTTGCCCTGGCCTCTTCTCCTGCCAGGTTTCTGTTCATCTTGTGTCATTTCTATTTAGTGCCTGGCAGCTGCTTACCTTCCTCTTTTGAAAATAAATTTGATTACACATTGTCATCTTAGAAATAGTTGTTCAAGTTACAAAATTAAAGCAAAAGTGGACTTTATTAACTACTGATTTCCTACTGTTTATTTTTTCTGAAATTCTATATAACTTGTACCCTTTTTCTGTTTTTTTTTTCTTTTTCTCCTTAAATAAAATTTTAAGAAAAAGAAAATAAATTCAAAATGAAAATGAGCCCCATGTCCAGTCACAGCCCAGGGTACAGCTCAAGCCCTCCTGTCCATCTCTGCAGGAGACTCGGCTGCCTCCTTCCCACCCGCTCTCTGCCCAGCCTCAACGCCTGGCTCACAGCTCCAGGAAAATTTCAAACCAGCTCCAGGCACCCCAAGCATTCCTTCTTCTCCCAGCCTATCAGAATATTAGCTGAGCAACTGTCATCACAGAATGCTTTTTCTGGCCATGTTTTTTTTTTTTTTTTTTTTTTTTTTTTTTTTGTGGGTGATGTATATCTGATGGGGTCTGAGTCTCAAGCTCTCCCCGGAGTTTCAGTGAGATGAGTTTCACCCAACTAATGCCATGCCTGCCCCAAAACTCTGGGAACTGACCCTGTAGGTGTGTTCCCTCTACCCTCAGCCTCTGGGGAGGTTCCCAAAGGGGCCAGTTTCCCCAGCGGCACCCTAGCTGGAAAAGGCAGTCTGGTCACTTGAAGCTGGTGTTTCTGGTTTATCTTGCTCTGTTTCCATCAGATTTCTCTGTCCTCTCCATCAAAAACACCCAAGTGTTGTTCCCTGTTTGTGAGGGACATTGAGGAGTCAGCTACCACAGTCCTGATGACCGAGCTGACTTCTCCCCGGACCCCTGGGCTCTCTTCTGTCTTGTCTTGGGGGAAATTGAGCCCCTGAGGGCTGGAGAGGGATCCTTGTGGAAGGAATCTGACACCTGTATCTACATGAGGCCCCCTGATACCTGGCAGACCAGACAGACAGCTCCCCTGGTCACCCAGTGCCCAGAAGACAAAGGGTCTCTCTGGGGCTGAAAACCTGTGGAAAGAGGTCGCTTAGAACCTATCTGTCTGTGGAGTGGGAGCTGCCGTGCTGCTTCCTGCGTGTTCAGTGTCTTGTGTATGGTGGTGTCAGGCACTTTTCTTCTCAGGCTATGTGGGAAAGCAGGAAACTAAGGGTGGCAGGAGGAAACCAAGGATATGGCAGGTGAGCAGAAGATTGTAGCTGGGAGATCTTGTCTTTGCTAAGGATGGAAAGGCCCTTGGGGTTAATAATGTGTAGCCTATGAGAGTGAGGGGCTGGTGCACTAGTACCTGCTCTGGAAAACACATTGGAAATCTCTCCCTGCATGTTCGCTCAAATTCCATTTCATCTCAGCCCCAACACATGACACCACCATGAACCACAGCATATGTGAAGTTCCACGCAGGACCTTCCTTCCCGTCACTGCGCCCAGAGCAGTCCTAACACTACCAGCTCTGCGCTGCCTGTGTAAATGTCTGTGATTCTTCATTTCAGCCTTCTTTTTTTCTTAGAAGTTCCATGTCCCACTTAAAATGCAGCCTCTGCGTCCCTCTGCTCAGAGATTAGGATTGGTGCAAGTGGGGCCGGGAAGTGCCCGGCTTGCCTTCCAGAGCTCCTTCATCTGTTCATGCTCCTGGGGGCAGCCTTGTGCCAGGGAGGAAGCCAGCACTGGCTGCCCTCGCCTTTGATGGCTTTCTGTTTGTGTTCGGCTGTGTCTCAGAGTGAACTCCTGCCTGGGGAAGGTTTTGCTGATTCTCTGCTCTTCAAAATTGCTATTTCCTAACCACAGACAATGGACAGACATTACTCTGGGGTTGTTTTCCTAGGATGAGATGAGAAGATGTAAGGAGTATTTGTGCTGTAGCTTGTTCCAGTAACAAAACGTACTAATTAAAGTTCAAATGAACTAATTCTTGTTTCTTTACAATGTACCTTGGCTTGAAGTTGGGGTTTTAGCCAGAATTTCTGTTGGCCTGTTACAACACATGCAAAAATGCTGAGTATTCTAGGGTGTTTCTCAGCAAATGTTGTTTGTTTCCCTGGACCCAATCTTTTGCTAAACTCATCCCCAGAAAGTTTCTCAGAGTACGAACTCCTCTGTCTCATATCAAATTGTGAATACCAACATGCTGATTTTTGTAATTTTAAAATCTGAGACTCCGAGAAAGTATATGATTTTTGAACAAAATAAATTGGAAGAATATTAAACATTCTCATGCATGTACAGATAAGTAATGAACGCACATTCATATCCATGCATGTGTGTACCCCATGGTCATGTTTACACATGTATTAACACACGTGCTTGTGTTTTTACACATGTAAAATGTGTAAACCATGAACTATTCCTATGTACACACACCTGTATCTACATGTGGCATGTGCACACACACACACGCACACACACACACACACACGCATGCACGCACGCACGAGCACTCCACTGTACATCTTGCATGGCCTCTGTTGCCAACTGGTATTCAGTGCTGGACAAGTCCCTGCCTCTCTCCAGGTCTCTGCAACTGTCAGTGCTAGGATTAGAATGTATCAGGGGGCTCGGTGATGGCAGCACTCTAGAGACAGATCTTCGAACTCCTTCCTCTGTAAGCCCTTTGCCCATACTGCATAGCTGCCCCTCCAAGAGGTTCCACTTCAAGGCACCATACTCACTGAGTCTTGTAAACATGCTAGTGTACAAAAATAAAGCTCTAGTCGATGAGCCTCAGACTTAGCTGCACAGTAGAATCACCTGGGAATTTTTAAAAAAATCATTCAGTGCCTGAGTCCAGTTCTCAGAGATTTTTATTTAGTACGGAGGAGAGCATGGGCAGGAGGACATTAGAACTCCCAGGTGTTCTCTGTCTCTCTCTTTCCTACACACACACACACACACACACACACACACACACACTGAGAGAGAGAGAGATTCTGTGTAATACTTACTTACTTGTGACAAGTTTTCCTCTGGGCCTCAGCAGATCTTGTTCCCAGCCTTGCCCACCTAACCCACCACTCCACCTTTATGCTAGAACTGTCCCCACCAGATGCTCCCATGTCCCACTCCCACTGTCCTTGAGTTTAGTAATGGCCATGCACAGATTGCTAGAAAGAGCAAGAGGATTCCTGCAGAGGCTGACTTGAGCACCTCCCAGCAGGACCAAGGTGCCACATGCACTGGGAAGAGGGAAGAGAGGCCTAGGCTTCAGCAGCCCAATTTGTTTCGGCATTTCTGTTCTGTGTGTGTGCCAGGGAAAGGTCAAGAATCATACTGGACACCGGGCAGGGCTGCATGACCTCCTTGCCCTCCTCTGGTTCCTAGAAGCTTCAGAGTGAGGGAGGCCCTCTGTGGCCTCCCAGTGGCTCCTAGTAGCCAAGTGGAAGACTCAGGAATGCTGCCCACTCTCCTCCAAGCATCTGGCCCATCACAGTCACTGAACTGGCTCCTGTTCACTTGTGACCACCTCTGAGGAGTATTGTCTCTGACGTGCCTTCCTGGCCGTTCTCCCTGTTACCTCATTTAAATCTCTTTATTTTGGGTTTAGCCATGGGCACCATGAAGATATTCAGGGAAGGAGACAAAGGTGACTTCACTCTGAAAGACAGTAAGTCTCATGCTGAGGGGCAGGTAGGCTTGATTCAAGGGTAGAAAAAAACAAGAAAACAACACAGCCTTATGGGAGACAGAGCCAACAAGAGATGAACCTACAGAGACTTTTGTTGTGACAGGTCCTCCTGCCCTGCCAGGGGAAGGACTTGGGAGCAGGAGGGGGAAAGGACGTCTCAGACACCCTCTTGCCCCCAAGGACTGTCTGCTGGTCAGGCAGGCAGCTATTCTGAGAGTCCCAAGATGGGGGTGTCTAACTGCAGTACAAAATCCCTTGATTAGGGAGCCCTCAGCCTGAATGGGGAGACACAGGCCCTTTTTTCTGGAAGAAGGGTACAAAGGTGTATACACACACACACACACACACACACACACACACACACACACACAAAATGAGTATAAACTTCCTGCCCCAACGGACACACAAGTCAGCTCAAAATTGGTACAGCCGTTGGCGCGAGTGCTGACGCGGTCCCGCTGGAAGGTTTGGAGAGCTCAGAGCTGAGTACGGTCACCTCTGGGAGCTGATTTTTGTACAAGGTCTTGAATGCAAGGAGAGGGATTGTCTGGGAAGAAGAGAAAGAATGTTTCGGGCGCAGTGGGTGTGACCTGTTTGAAAGCTTGGAGGTAAAAGAGGATGAGTCATCTGGACGTGGGCTTGCCTGCCTCACAGGACAGAATGCCCTGTATCTTAAAGAAGGAGCTGCCTCATTTTCAAAGGTTTTGTAGTTCAGAACGCTTGGGCTACACTATGACACGAATCAGCATCATCCAGTTATTGTCTAAGTAACAAAAGGAGGCTGGCACATGGACAATGACCACTGAGTGGTAGATTTTCTGATATGGTTTTTACACACGGAAGTTCACACTGAGTAAGACAAGATAGGCTGTGTAGACTGCGGAGCCCATGTTATTTGTATACTAAGGAAAGTAATAGATACTTTGAGGTATTTATGCTTTGACTTTGGGGTTCTGTGGGTGGCCAGATGCCTCCTCAGGATGACACACAAGTTGGGCCAGCTGCCAGCTTCACTGTGAAGCCACCGTCTTTTGGCTCAGGGTGAATGCACCCATCTGGAGACAATGGTGGGAAGGTAGTTGCTTGGCTGGGAAGGTAGGGGTGCTTCTTGGGGTGAACTGGATGTTTGGATTGTCTCCCGTTACCTCCCCCGGAACTAAGAATCCTTTTCAAGGAGGTGACTTTGGCTCTCTGGAGCAACACACAGCTCTTCTTTTCTGGATTTATGCCACCCGACAGAGACCTCTTTGAGTAGAGGAACGCCTATTTGAGTAGAATTCAAGGACCCTGACCACATTGAGCATTAAATGAAAACCTTGAACCTCTAGGGATCAGAAGGGGAGAAGAACGAGCTGCTTGAATAAAAGGTCAGCCAAAGCTACAGTGGTTCTCTGTGCCCAAAATCTCAAATAAAAATGAGATACGGTAGATATGATCCCTGCCTTGGAAAATGCCCTGAGTTCATGATAGTAGAGACTATACTATCATGAAATAGCCACGGAAGAGTCCTTAACCAGGCAAGGCTTCTTAGTGGTGAGTTCTCCAGAAGTGGGAGAACCAGGTGGAGAAGTCCCACTTCTTGCTATGGAGCTTGACTTTTAAAGGACCTTTCTTACCCCAAACACCCTGGGGTCAGGAGAGAGGGAAATGGCCTCTGGACAGGAGCAGCTCTCTCTCACACAGAACTTACCTGCCACCTGCACCTCTGGTGTCTGGCATATTGCTAGGTGTGCTTTCAGATGTGTGACATCGCTAGTCCTCCCCTCCCTTTACCCACGTCCTGCAAGTGTGGCTGCTTTGTGCTGGAGAAGCAGTGCTGGCTGGAGCAATGGAAGCTTCAGACTCGCAGGGAGCCAAACAGCCCCTTGATCATAGATAGGGCTTGGAGGATGCTTTCAGGAGCTGTTTGTAAGGGCCCAGCCCTGCAACAGTCACAACCCATGAGTCACTGCTGAGACAGAGTATCCCACCTTTACCTCTGTGTGTCCATGTGTCTGTGTGTCCATCCTCTGCCTCCACAGCACAGTCCCCCACCACCTCCACACGAGAACTGTGGAGAAGGCAGCAGGGAGGTGCAGGTGTTGAGGGAAGAGATGCTTTATCCAGTGACTTAGACAGAGCCACGAGTAGCGTCAGACCTATGGATTCCCTCTCACAGGGGTGCAGCCCCACAGGCCACTTCTGGGGGATGCCTCTCCAAGCGGGAGGCCCCCTGGGCCTCCGCCACACTTTGCCTGTCACTACCACACGTATTCCATCCCGAAGCAGAGGGTCGAGTCACATGTGCCTGTTAGTGGGAAATACCAACTCCTGTCATGAAGGGCAAGCAGACCTTCCAACCTGAGAAGAGATGACAGAAGTAGGCTAGAAGGAGGAGAGGCAGGTGAGACCTGGATGCCAGCTCCAGCCTCCTCACTGTGTGCGCCTGGCTATAGTCCCTTCCTTGGTGAGCTCAAGTTCTGAGTTCCTGAGCACACAAGAGTCTCCCAGTCTTTCTGAAAAGCTGCTGTGGAGAGAGGGTGAGGATCAGGCTGGCAATCTTCACAGGTGCTCAGAGTAAGACAGCATTCAGTGGGCACAACTGACCCCTCCCTCGGACATTACTCACAGGGGCAGGCCCTTCAGGACTGGAGTTGGGTCGGGGAGGGTGGGGTGCTGGGACTGGCAGGAATGAGAAGCCTCTTGAGGACCCTGGGGCAGGTAGCACAGGAGGTGATGATTTACCTTAGCTACCTTCCCTTCTTCCTTGTAAGCTGAAGCCTTTCTCAGGAGAGGAGAGGTCGGGCTGCTCTGAATTCCATCAGGCATGTGTCACCATCCTCACACAGCCACGGAACTTGGGAGCTGTGTGGGGCTTTTGGAATGTACAGGAGTCAACACCTTTTTACAGAAGCAGAAGCTGAGGCCCAAAGCAAGCATGTGACTTGCCCCGATGCCAGGCTAGGACCAACGTCAACTTTTCCAGCTCCTCCAACCCCAGGGCAGCTCAATGCCCATATGTCCACTGGGTCCTCCTTGAGACAGGCTGGTAATCAGGCCTTCTGCCATGGGCTATGATGGTCATCTGGTGCTGGATGAAGGAGGTGGCCTCAGGCAGAGACAATGACCTCATTCTAGAGTCGCCTTTCTGCTTTTCTTACTCCCAGCTCAAATAATCCAGTCCCCTAGAAAAAGGTTCGAGTCTGGATGGATGCCACAGAAGATGCGACAGGGGTGCTAACAGAACTGGGGAGCGCACCATCCGGGTTCCTCTCCCTGGGCCAGGTCTGGTCCCTTCCCTTCCCCTCCCCTTCCCTTTTCTTTTTTATTCCCCTTCATTTTTTTTCTTACTTGCGTATTTTTTCTTTCCTTTTTTCCCTTTTCTTCCCTCATCTTTTCTTCTCTCTATCCTCCTCTCCCTCTTTCCCCTCTTCTCTTCCTCCCCCTTTTTCTCCCCTTCCTCTTCCTCCTCCTTTCTGTACTGGGATAGAACCCAGGACCTTGTGTGTGATAGGCAAGCACTCTACCACTAAGTACATACTCAGCCCTTTTTAATTTGATTTTGAAATAAAATCCCAATAAATTTCCCAGGCTACAATTTAAGACCCTCTGTCTCAGCTTCCTAAGTTACAGGCATGTGGTTTATGCCAGACCACAGTTTCTGGTCAGCACTATAGAGAAAAGAAGCACATCCCTCCTAAGAGGTTCTCACTGGTGCCATGCAGCTTTATTCCCAGAGGCCACATTTAACAATAAGGTGGTGCAAACCTCGCTCTGGCATTTAGGTCACAGAGCCATGGCTTGCCCGTCATGGAGCTACCAGTGGAGCTGAAGGCAGTGATGCAAGGCAGAGTGAGTCTAGGGGTGCAGACATAGGACAGTAAATGTTCAGAAGCCAGAAGGGATTGCTTTGTGCATTCTAGAGGAGGGAAGCTCTTGACCTAACTTTAGAAAATGAATGGAATTTGATGGTTATAGCCAAGGAGGAAAGACAGACTCAGCAAATGGAACAGGGTGAACAAAATTATAAGTGTGTCCTGCAGATTTAGAGCTGTCCCTTAGGGACATCTCCCACCATTTAGTGAAAAGGAGAATTGAGGCTAGCCCTACCAGGAACCCAAAATCTAGTTCTGATTTCTGTGATTCAAAGCCACTTTGCTGCTAATAACCCTAATGACATTCTGTCCTCTTCCTGTGGAGCCTGTCATTTGTGGATCTCCAAGCACTATGAAAACATTAATTAATTCTCATGGCTCCTTTGAGGTTGATCACTGCTCCCCTTTACCAGCTAGAGAACTTCAGAAGTGAGGAAAGGGGTGGGAGATCACCTGGGCATCCAGGGGCTGGGCTTTAGTTTGAATCCAGAGACCCAGCTGGAATCTGACTGGGATCACCCTGCACCGCTCTGTGCTCTGATCTTGGGGCTCTGGACCTGGAATGTCGAGATACTGCCTGCCTTTTCCAACTGGGAAGCTGATCTTCGTGGAACGTGGAGTCATGCTTCCCTGGGATGGGATGGTAGTGCTCCAGGACCCTCCAGAACAACTCCCGACTTGTAGGTGTCAACCTTCCCAAAGAGCTGGGAAGCCTCTAGGAAGCAGTCAGCAGACTCTCTAAATTGTTCCTGTAGTAGTCTGTGGTGTCCTTTCCCTTGGCCCTGGCTGTGGAGGATGTAGAGTTGGAGAAGGCCGGCAGCTGACTTCTTCTCCATCCTCCTCCCTCAGAAGCTCATGTCTCCATGGACGTGATAGACCTGGATGTGGGGTGATGCCCTGGGAGGAGGTATGAGTGAGGACCATGGCCATCCTGTCTTAATCCTTTCTTTGCCCACCAGGTTCCATGTATGATGGCTTAGTGGACAATTATAACAACTATGGGACCACCGGCCGGAGCAGCTACTACTCCAAGTTCCAGGCAGGGAACGGCTCATGGGGATATCCGGTAAGAAACTGTCCATCCAAAGACACCTGGAATGTTTGTGGGGATGGTCTGGGATGCATGGTAGAGAAAGCCTGCACTGGTTACTAAAAAAGAGAAATGCAGGCAGAGGTCAGTGCATCGGGGACATCAGCTCTTTGCTTGGTCATTATTTTACAGAAGGTGGTGTGTGAAGCCTCAGATTAGGGCTGACTGGCTATCTCTGAATGTCTCAAGTGAGAACATTTTAGAAAAAGCACAAAGAAAGGACATTTTAAAAAGTCCATTTCCCAATACATCTGACACAATCACAGATTTGAGAGAAGTTTGAGTTTTTGAAGTCCACATATGGACCATTTTATATGTTTCTAGGAAAATCCTGAAGGATTCCTTTATGAGTAGTGATGGCCGTGGAGAGACTCCAGAAGGTCCTCCAAGGCCCGGATAGTGTGTCCACTGCAGTGACTCCTGCAGAAGGGACTCAGTGCTGGAGTGGACAATGTTGCTTGAGTTTGTAAGTCAGATAAATTTAGACTCAAATTCACTCTAACCCTGGCAGGATCAGTGACTTTTGGAAAATTATTTCAACCTCTGGTCCTTGGATTCTTCATAGGTATAAAGTAATTATAATAAACTCTACTTATTATTATCAGAACAAATGAAATAATGTACATTAAAAAATTACAACATTTCTTAAAATTTTAAATAATTAATATGGATAGAGATTTCCTAGATCCTTTAATCCTAGTTTTGTCTCTGTTTTCCTTGTGATCTCAACTCACTCCACGCATCTGTTCATTTACTGAGCAGATATTTACTGAGTTTAGCTCTGGGCTAAGGGTTGTGACAGATTCTTTCAATATAACAGTACAAACTAGCATACTTTTCTTCTACTCTAAGATTGGGAATATTGGGATGCATAGCGCACAAAGTTTCTTGTAGTCTTCAAGGTCTATGACTTTCATTTACTTTTGTTGATTTCAACATTGGCCTGCATTGTTCTTGGAAATTCTTTTGTGAGTTGACTTCATGACTGTGCAGAGAGGACAAAGTCTACTTTGTCCCTGGGAAGCTGAGGTCCGGCCTTCTTGGGGCTCCAGGGTCACCGGTGCTTGCTTTGAGCCACATTACTCGCAATGTTCACTCTTGATTATTGAAGATCTGGGATTCTGGGAGGGGGAGAAGGTGGGTGGATTATGAGTTTGGAGTTCTTAGATCATTGGCTTGATTCTGTTGTCCTTTCCTCGGCTCTTGCTAAGGCTAATTTTGGATGTTTTCTTTCTTGCATGTTATGAGTTAGGAACTAAAGGGAGGAATGATTGAAGTTTGCTGCAAATTGATTTCACTTGTTTTGTTTCATTTTGTTGTGTTTTTTCCTGATTCTTGTTGTCAGCATAAGTCAACCCTCATTGCAGTATAAATCCAGCTGATTGAGCTCAACCAACTGTTGGATCAGGGAGGGATATGAAAGGGCTTTGACACAAAGGATGATGGTCAGACAGACTGAGAAAATGTCTTACTAATGCAGGATAATGGGATTAGGTTAAACCCAAGGAAGGCAAGTTACTGGACTAGGAGTTCCAAGTGAAGAATCATGCTGACAATACAGACGTTATGTGTCTATACATACATGATGTCACCAGATCAAAGCTTAGAAACTTCAGAGTCTACCCTGGTTCTGTGACTTTAGATAAAACTTGGTATCACTTGGAACATCAATTTTCCCATGCATAAATGGGAGTGATGGTACCCATGTGTCTACTTCACCATAGGTTGATATCACATTATGTTAACTGCAAGTGCTATCACACTGACAGTGCACCAAGAAAGAGGAGGAAGTATTTCTAGAAAACAACCCTCCATGGCCCACATTGAACACTGTGTGTTGGTTAATTAACTCAATCCTCAGCTATTTCACCAAACGTTAATGCTCCCAAACAACTCCCACCCCTCCCTCTGCCCATTTTCTAACCAGTGAAAATCCCTTTCCTTCCCCCACCCTAAGGCCCAACCCTCCTCACTCCTTTCTGGCAGGTCTGCAGACGTGACTCATGACAGGGTAGCTGCTGAGGCATGTCCTGTCTCCTCTCAGTTCAGGAGAGGCTATGGGAACAGGGAAGAACTGAGCACACATAAGGATTTGGCAGAGGGAGGGGACTGAGTAGGGAGGAAAAGGGATAATTGATATTGGAGCCAGACATATAATCAGCCAAGCACTGGGCAAAGCCAAATGGGGTCCAGATTTAGGGAGGAAAAGAGCGGGAAGAAATGGTAATAGAGATCTGTGGTGTGAGATAATCCCATGCCTGTGGGATTTTCCCAGGGATGGTACAACTGGCTTGGAATGTTTTATTTCCCACCCTCTGGGGAAACCAATATGGCGGACAAAGACAGGGAGCATGGGGAGGAGGGTGTGGTTTGTCTACACAAGCATGGTCAGCATGTTTTCAGGAGCTTCTGAGAGTTAATGAAGGACCATTTCCTACAAATACTTTGTATTCACTCAGTCAGCCAGCTGGTATTGTGCAATTGCAGGGGCACGGCAGCAAGGAAAGAACAGTGCAGACACAGGTGGAAAGATGGCCCTTGCCCTCAGTGAACTTCCATTCAAGTAGGCAGAAGTGGAGGTAAACAGACAGACAGAATGAAGTTTGTAGCAGTCTCTTTCCTCGAATACTACACCAATACTCTCCCTGCTTAAAATGTTTCTAGAACTACCTTAAGTGTATTTTAGGAGCCGTATAAGAACCAATATTATATCTTTATTGTCATGACCTGTGTTTGATCAGAAACCATATCATCCACTTTGAGCACCTTGGTCCTCAGACTTGGCTACAATTCTAAATATCAAACCGTCTTCAAATAATACAGCTTTGTTGTCAGTGAGTACGTATTTCATTTCAATATGTAAAGACCTTATATATTTAGAATAATATAGAAATTCCAAAGGCAAGTGGTGCCAAGAGCAGTGGTAAACACCTGCAATCCCAGTACTCAGGAAGCTGAGGCAGGAGGCTTGCCATGAGTTCAAGGTCAGCCTGGGCTACATGGTGAGTAAACGTCCAGCCTGAACTGCAGAGCAAGACTCTTTCAAAAAACAGAACCAAACAGAGAAAAGAAAACTAAAAATTCTAATAATGTTTTATAAAGTTTTGCCTTGTATTCTTTATTAGTAATAGCCTTCTGATTAAAAAGGCACACTATAATATATGATCATTTATTTCATGAATTTAGAAAACTGAATAAGAAAGCCTTGTCATAAAATAAACCTTCAAACAACATTAGACTGACATATGAAAAGCAGCCAGGGGCGTAAGGAATAGAAAAGATTGGTTTGAAGAAAGTCATTGAACCAAGCGACTCTCTGCTGTTTTCTGGTCACTTGACCCCCTCCTCCCCTTCAAAGACAAGATCTATCAGAGAACAGCATCCACGTCCCAGAGTCCCAAAGACCTCAGGCGGAGCAGGGAGCCAGCAAGGGGGCGTAAAGGGTGGGCCCCCAACCCTAGCACCTGACCTTTCAGGTGAGCAGACTCAGCTCTGCTGCTCCAGTTCTCAGAGCCACACACAGGAATGTCAGAGCCCCAGCGTGGGTTACATTCTGACAGAAACTTGGGCCCAGAGAGCATAAATTACTCATCATACAACTGTTTAACGGTGTAGCAACCTAGATCCCTGACCTCCTAATCCTAACCTGGTAGAGTTCTATTTTTATTACCCCAGATGTTTGCACTTTTGTGTAAGATATATGTGTGTGTGTGTGTGTGTGTATTTTTTCTTTTTTTTTTTTTCCCTGTCTTTTTGAGACAGGGCCTTGGGCTCACTTTGTACCCCACGCTGGTCTCAAACTCATCACAATCCTCCTGCCTCAGCTTCCTGAGTGCTAGGAATTCAAGCATGAACCACCACTCCCCGCTGTGAAGGATATTTTATGGGTTCCCACCATCTCCATATTTTAACACTACAGTTGTTTTCTAGGGATTTGCAAGAGACCCATGAACTCATCCTTTCATTCCTGTCTTCCCCCACATTCTAATTAGGCCTACTCTATGGGGCTCCAACAAGAGAAGGAGGAAAATAGTCCTAGTTTTTCCTTCCTGGATTTAAGTTGGCTTCACTTGTCTAAAAGCATTAATTAAAAGCATTAATTAATTCACTTGTCTAAAAGCTTAGGATAAGTTACCAGATGAAATGCAACAAAGCACAATGTTTGGGACACAGTTTTACTGAACAATTCTTTGTTTATTCAAAATTCAAATATAACTAATATCCTGAAATGCCTGGTCATTCCTGTAATAAAAATAAGACTTTTTAAGCGCTCCCATCCTGGACTGGGGAGTTCAAGCAGAATGATTAAAACCTGCATCCATTTTGGTAAAAACAAAACAGAAAAACATCTTTCAGCCCCTCTTGGTTGTCCTTATAATAAGTCACTTGTATACTATCCTCTGGGTCAGCCAAGACCAAGATGAAAGAGTAGCCAGCTGGAACCCTTGCAAGGCCTGGCACTCCTATTCCTAGGATTTACCGCATGGAATTACCCCCAGGTGAGGCTGAAGCAAGTGAGAAACTTTGATTTCCAAAGAATACATCTGGATTAAGTTTGACAGTCCCCTTTTTTATCAACTCCAGCAATAAAGGGTTTTCTATTTTCAAGTCAAGAAGCGCATCTTGAGCTGGCAGTTCTTCCAGGAGTTATAGCCAGCAAAATATTCTTTGGTTGTGGACCAAAGCAGACTCTACTGTCCTTCCCAGGTTTGGTCAGTGGAGGAGAGAAGCCGTGCAGGTATCATTACGCAAGAAGACTGGACCAGGCCACACCATGGTGACCACCATACCAAGTCACTCTGCCATGCTCAGTTAAATCCAGTCTAGCACCTCAGGAGTGAGAATCCCCAGGAACATAAAGAGGGAGAATTCTGCCTTTATCCTGATCTTTCTGTCAGCCCCTTGCCTAGGTGATACCTCAGTATTTGAGGATTCCATTATGACAGTCTTTTGGACAATGTACAAGAGACACTTAG